CTCTGGTAATATCACACTACCAACTAGAGCATACAAAACATTTGCTAGACCAATACTCGAATACAGCTCATCAATCTGGAACCCACATTACATATCTGATATTAGCACAGTTGAGAAAGTCCAGAAATATTTCACAAAAAGAGTTCTCCACTCCTCTACTCATTGCAGAATTCCTTATGCCACCAGACTTGAAATTCTAGACCTAGAAAACCTTGAATTACGCCGTCTTTGGTCTGATCTAAGTATGGTATATAAAATCATACATTGCAGTGACTTACCTGTCAATGAATACTTCAGCTTCAACCATAACACAAGAGCACACAATAGATACAAACTCAAGGTTAAACTTGATTGCAGGAAATACAACTTCAGCAACAGAGTGGTCAATGTCTGGAATACTCTACCTGACTCTGTGGTTTCTTCCCCAAACCCCAAAAACTTTAACCTTAGACTGTCTACTATTGACCTCACCCCTTTCCTAAGAGGTCTGTAGGGGGCGTGCATAAGCGCACCAGCGTGCCTACCGTCCCTGTCCTATTGTTTCTTTTTTCTTATATGTACCCATTTCATGTATTCATAATTATGCATATACTTATACCTATTATCTTGTAAGCAATTGACAAATCAAATAAATAAATAAATAAATAAAATAAAAAGTTGTTTCCCTACCATTTGAACAAGATGAGGCCTGCATAGTTATTTGCAAAGGAAGTCCACAGAAAGAAAAAGAAAAGCTAACAATTTCCCCCCACACCAAATTCAGTTGTCTGCTCTGACACAGGCAAGACTGTAAAATATGAAAAAGGAGACTTGCAAATCTGTGAAGAAACTTAAAAGGTTCAGGGAAAGCATGCAGTCACTGAACCACAGCTAAAATGAAGGACTCTCCTGGGTGTCCCATGATGACATTTCTGGGATGGGATGTTCTTTTTATGTGCAGGAAAAACACAGCAACACAGAAGACACAAGAGTACTTTCCCACCATCCTCATCCTTCTCTGTAGTTTTCTCCTGCTGCAATAGTTGCCACTATTGGTTCTTCTTCTCCAGGGTTGCTAGTTGCTCCATCAGCCTCAAGACAGCAATACAAAAAATTGCAGCCAACTGCTTTCTTCCTTCTATCTTCCCTAACATGCTTGTGTTTCATAGATACTTCTTTTTAAAAAAATCAGCTACTGGCTCCTGTTGACCAGGTTATAAAGTTATCTTTCAGAGCAGCTGGGAAAGATAAGGATAGTGGCATACACAATGATGGCTTGGTTACAAGAAGGAAATTGCTTACCCCACAGCTTCAGAGGAAATATTGAAAAATCATCTTTTCAGTGTTTCCTTCAGAGTAAGACTTGCATCAATACTTAATTCAGGTTCCCAAATTATAAACAAAAGCCACAATGTTGTAAGGACACTGAGGGAAAGAGGCAATTTCAGATTAGAATGGCTTCTACATATAGGAGCAATATCTTGGGAATTAAATAGTTTAGTCAGTGGGAATATCTGTGTTTAATGTAACACTCCATTAGCACTGTATCCAACTCATATAGAAAGTCTCTAAGTATATTATTAGTACAAATTAAATTATTTTTCTCAGGAATACAGTTAAATGTTTTGGGAGCCCTACTTTTTTCAGAACTTTCCATAGTTTCATGTGATCGATACAGTCAAAGATCTTTCTACAATCAATGAAGCACAAGCAGCTAGTATTCAATATATGACCACAATTGAACCCCAAGTTCCCATTACTAAATAAGGTAGCTGTTAAGTGAGTTTTGCCTCATTTTACAACCTTTCTTGCTATACTTGTTAAGTGAATCACTGCAGTGTTACATTAGTAACACAGTTGTTAAGTAACTCTGACTTCTCCATTAATTTTGCTTGTCAGAAGGTTGAAAAAAGTGATCACATGACCTCAGGACACTGTCATAAATACCTTCCAGCTGCCAAGTGTCCAAATGTGATTATGGGGATGCTGTAATGGTAATGTAAAAAGGCATAAGTCAATTTTTAGTGCCCTTGTAACTTCGAATGGTTTCTAAATTATTAGCAACAGAAAGTATAAAAAGAAAAGTTATGCAAAAAGAACAAGAGAAAATATAGAAGTGAAAAAGAAATAGAAAAAAAGAAATAGAAAAAAAATTAAAAAGAAAATGAACATGCAAAAATATTTTTGCACTTTTATTTCTCTTAATCTTTCTTATTTTTCAACTTTTTATTCTTTGAAATAATAGAAAATACTGGTAGCTTGGGTTTTAGGTTTTGGCATGGTTTGCTCTTGGAGCTTGACATTTAGTTCCTGAACATTTTATTACCAGATTAGGTTGTCCTATTCCTCTTGATATCTATGTTGTGTGTGCTCTTGTGGTCAGTTGGCCATATGACTGGTTGTTTGTTTGGAACTATATTTAAATTTTGAGCAGTTGATTGATTCTCTTGCTGACTGGTTATTCGAATGGTTTGGTTTCTTACAAATTCATATGCTGGATTTAAATCAATATGCTTGTTAATTATTCCTTTAGTAGAATACCAGGCTTCAATAAATTCATATGTGTGGTGTTGACATGACCAATGATTTTTGTTCCTTCCCAATTGAACTGGTGTTGTTTGTTGTCAATGTGGTTCGAGATCAGATTTTCGTTTGTGTTGTTTAACTGCTAGTCAATGTTATTGAATCCTTGTTTTCAATTGCCTTCCTGTTCTTGTCTAACTTTTGTTTTTGAAAATCAATAAAGTTATATAAAAAAGGTTATGACCCAAGTATCCTGTACTGTTTTATCCTTTGCAATAATGTTACCTCAGCTTAGAAAATAATTTTAAAGGCAAAGACTCTGCTGGACTGCATTCAGTCTCTGATCTTGGACACAACCATAAACTTTGTAGCAATGAAATTGTTTGCATTGTCTCCTTCCTCCCCACCCCCCATGGTACTTCTCCATTTATACTGAAATCTGAGTATTTCCAGGGGAACTCCCACCAAGCACTATCTGGGCCTGACCTCACTTAGCCTTTTTCTGTCAGCCAGGTGCTGCCACCTGGTGTGACACAGTAAAAAAAATAAAAAGTAGCACCCCAGAAAGGAAAAACCCAAGCTGTAACCACAAATTTATTTATTTATTTATTTATTTATTTATTTGATTTGCCAATTGTTTACAAGATAATAAGTATAAGTGTATACATAGTTGTGAATACATGAAATGGGTACATATAAGAAAAATAAAAGAATAAGAGAAACAATAGGACAGGGACGGTAGGCACGTTGGTGCACTTATGCACAAACCCACCCCTTTCCTAGGCACTTCATGTGTTCCTTGTGATAGGCTGGGTGAACAGTGTCCGATCCCAGAGTTTAATGTTTATAGCATCTAAAAAGGCTAAGGAGACAGTTTGGGATAGTGGTTAAAGCACTGGGTTGGAAAGTTGTTGTTGTTGCAAACTGTAGTTGTTGCTTGATGCAATGGCCACCATACTAACAGGTCTCTCTGGAAACCTTTTAAAACCAATCCAATCAAAACTCATTTAGAGTTAGTGGAACTAAGAAAATTAAATTCATATTCTTCTTGAGGCCTCAGAGAGGACGGGAGGGATGGCTTTTTGTCTACGCCCGGCCTGTCTATCCTCAGCCCTAGAGGGTCTCTTAGGGGCTAGAGCCTTGGCTCTAATCCTAGCTGCTGCCTCCAGACCAGCAGATCTGGGCTTAGGGGTGTCACCCTGCGACCCAAAGTTGACGGCTGAAAGGAAACAGGGCTTCCGTCCTCCTAAGAGAAGAAGTTCTTTTAATGTAAATACGGAGGGCCCTCCTAAATCTTGCATCTGGGTCTCCTCCTGTCGTAAGCCAGCTGCTGTAGGTGTAAAAGTGGCTGCAGGCACAGGTCTGGCTCCACTGGAGACTTAGTCTGCAGGTGCCGCCATCAAGATCTCCTGAGGCGGCTCAGAAAACTTGTGAGAGGTCTCAGCCCTGATTTGGAGGTTTCCCTGCAAATCATGGGTACTTGAGCCCCCCAGGCGACCAGGCAGTCATACACTACCTATCTGCCAGTTGGTCTGGCGGCCTGTCATCTTGAGGAGGCAAAGTTTGAGGGGTGGCTCTGTATTCAGCCATCCTGGAATCTCTCACAGCCCTGTCAAACTTGTCTTATTGTCTGGGAGATCCAGGCTCTCAGGAAGGATGGCATTTTAAAACACTTCCCCAGGAATGTCATGACAGAGAATAACACGTAGCATCCTAGTCTGAGCTTCCTTTGCAGGAAAGAGGCAGGATGCGAACCTCAGCAGTTTTCTTTATTTCAAACCCAAGCAGGGTTAATTCGGCAGATACCGACGCAGGGCTATTTTGCGGGAGGAGCGCTGCGCCTGCCGTGCCGGGTGCACGCCGGCAGGTTTCAACTCGTCCTGGCCGCCCCCGCTCCCATTCCAGCTGCCCTTCCCTCGTCTTATTCCACGTCACGGTGCGGTGGCAAGACGCGGAGGTGGGGGAGAGCTGTCAGTGTCACCCAGGGAAAAGGAGAAGTTCGGGCCGGGTGCCAAGCAGTTTCTGTAAAAGAAACGGCCGCCTCCGCTTGGCGGGGCGTGTGGAAAACCAGGGCGAAGGGTGGACTGGTTGGGGGGGGGTGGAAGGGCGGGAGGAGAAAAAAAGGAAACGTTCCCCTCGATACCCGCCACCACCTTTTGCACCAGTCCCGAGAAAAATAACTCTTTCGGGGGCGGCTCCGAAGAGGGAGATTGATAGGATGCTACACATCGCCATCGAGCATCTCTTCCAATGAAAACGATCGCCCCGCCTTTTAGGCGGGACCTACGAAAAGCCTGAGGTAAGGCAGGCCAATAGGAAAGCCGCCTGGAAGCTCGGCGGATGGTTTATCGAGAGGCCAATCCCGTCGGGAGGTGTGAGCGATGCCGCCCGGTTGCCGGGGTCGTAGCCAATGAGGAAGATCCAGAGAGGCGGAGCCTAGCGGCGGGTGGCTCCGGGGTTCCGTGTGGAAAGGAGTGTTAGGGGGTTCGGGTGCAAAGTTTAGTTTCAAACCGTCTGCAAAGAGCGGCGGGGTGGTTGCTGCCGCTTCTTGGAGCGCGGGCGATATATAGAAGGGAGACAGCGCGGCGGCTCAGAGAGATGGTTCGTTGATAGTGACGATCACAACAACCCTTTTGGCCCGCGGGAGAGCAGAAGCCCCGGCACCGGGGGGAGAATTACCGCGGAGGCTAGCCGCGTCGAGAGGGGCGATTTCCCCGGCGGCTGCCTGACGAGAGGCGTTGCTTTCCCCGCTCCTCTTCCCTCGCGGGTTTGGGTTGCGGCAGCGGCGCCTTTGCGAAGCGGCTGAGTGGCTCCGCAGGCCGGCAGCATGGGCGTGGAGAGTCCGGGCGAGTGGCCGGTTCCGCGACGGCACGGCCGGCGGCGGGTCCGCCTGATGTGCATGCTGGCGCTGACTTTCGGCTTCTTCGTGGTGGAGGTGGTGGTGAGCCGGCTGACGTCGTCGCTGGCCATGCTCTCGGACTCCTTCCACATGCTCTCCGACGTGATGGCTCTGGTGGTGGCCCTGGTGGCCGTGCGCTTCGCCCAGCGCACCCGCGCCACCAAGAAGAACACCTTCGGTTGGGTGCGGGCCGAGGTGATGGGCGCCCTGGTCAACGCCGTCTTCCTGACCGCCCTCTGCTTCACCATCTTTCTGGAAGCCATCGAGCGCTTCACCGAGCCCCATGAGATCGAGCAGCCCTTGGTGGTCATCGGCGTCGGAGCCGCCGGCCTGCTCATCAACGTCCTGGGGCTCTGCCTCTTCCACCAGCACGGCGCCGGCGGCCACGGCCATTCCCATGGCGGGAACGGAGGGGGAAGCCACCGGCGGAGCGGTGCCCGGGCCGGCAAGGCGGAGCCGCCTCCCGACGACCTACATAAAGAAGAGGAGACCAACACCCTGGTGGACAATTTCAACAGCTCCAATGGAGTCAGCCTGGAGAAGCTGGGTGAGCTGAGGAAGGTGGGGTGGGCTGCGGAGGGGCTTCCGCCCTGATCCGATGGTGTCCAGAGGTACCGAGATCCGAGCATGCACCAGAAAGGGCTTTTTTTTAAGCCTGTGAAAAAACCCTGGGCTTGAATTCCGTCTTGCCCTACACCCCAAGCCCTCCTGACCCAAAGTGGATTTGTGATTTCCCCTTGGGCCGATCAGTGGCAAGAGATTTGATCCTTTGCTGATCTGCCTTTCCTCTGAGATTGTGCCATGCTGACCCTAATTTACTGTCTTGGCAACCCACTGCCATGGTTACTGTTACCTCATCATGCCCCAGCAGACACTTTTGAGCATCTTTCGCTTTGGGAGATTGCAACTTTTCCCCTCTAATGTGTTATATTAATGTCATTTGTTCACTACATTTCCTAGATCTTACCACCTTAAATAGGCCTTTCCAGGATTCTTCATTGGGCCCTAAAGAGAAGGCTTCTTGTACTTCATTTTACTATAATCCGAGGGAATTCAGAAAACCCAGAATATGGGGAATGGTCCCATGAATTATTCAAGAACAAAACTTCATGAACCCCAGTTTCACTAAAACACAAAAACAAATACTCAGGTTTTAGATAACTTTCCTGTGTTGTAGGGAATTTAAAGTAATTAAAATAGTTAATGTGCCTTGTATAGAAGAAAATTTATTCAGTGTTCCTCTTTTGCACTTTTCTTCCATGTATCTCAACAACTGGCAGACTTTATGTAATGTTGGCTCTAATTGGTTGATTTTTTTTTTACAGCAGCAAAATTTGACATAGAACTTAATTATATTAGAAAGTATATTATACATAGACACCAGCTGTCATGGTAGATCTGGTATGTAGCTCTCTCTGAGCATACACAGAATATTTGTCATTCTTTATCCAATTATGTAGTCTATAGGTTTTTTTTTTACCAACATGAAATATTGAGAAGCCATCAGCGCAGGACACCAATAAGTTTTCTGCAGCCTTTATTCTGATTTAATCAGTTTAAGTCTGTTGTCATTAGAGATTTAATCATCATGTCATCTACATTTTTGGACAAAATTATATGGATTATTTGAGAGCTAGTGTTGTGTGCTTGCTCTTAATTTCTACTCCACCCTCTGCCATGAAAATTCATTGGATGGCTTTAGGAAGGTTGCTGTCCTCTTAGGCCAACATACTTCACAGAGTGGGTTTTGAGAAAAATAGGAAATGCAACTGGTGTGTATGCCACTTCCATCTTCTGAATCAAAGGCAGAATATAAATATATAAATATATGTAAGTGCAGAATTGTTCCTTTAAGGGCTAGCTACATTACAGATGAGGAACTTATTCCCTGTCATGGAAATTAATCCCTCTGGCAATATTCTATAGTTAGAATAATTGTAATTTAGTTTTAATTTAGAAATGTTGATTTATTCATAATTTAATCAGAGTTCTGAGATCATTTCTGAAGCAGATTGGTTGGTAGGATTTATTGCCATTGTTCATCTCTTGGCATAAGTGTTATTTATGTAAGCAACTGCTTTTCTTACAAGTTTGCATTTGGCCTTGGGATCATTGTTGGCTGATTTATGCAATAAGATCGATTTTGGCAGTGTGATTTTGCAGCTATATTTGCCTCTCCTCTCCCCCCCCCCCCAATTTAAAAACTAGTTCTATTTTTGGATGATGATGCTGGAAATGCTTTTCAGAATTATGGTATTTATGGGTAACCCAGATTATTTAATCTAGGTTTTTCAGATTACTAGTGAGGCATAAATGATCCCTGGCAATAGTTCATTGTGATGACACTTAGACTGAAGATAACTTTGTCAACATGGTAGTTTGTCTACCATGTCTCCCTATTCACAGAGTTTTGGTTCTAAGAATAAACATGTCTCCTTAAGAAGTTCCTGTAGTGCAGGGGTGTCAAACTCATGGCCTGCAGGCCGGATGTGTCATGTGCTGGCCCTGCCCGGTTTAGTGAAGGGGAAAAAAGTCCCAATACGTCACATGAACCCCTGAGTTTGACACCCCTGCTGTAGTGGCTGTTAAAGCTTGAAAGTTTTAGGCATACATCTTTAGCTAGAAGCACATATGTACAGCATTCCTGGTAGATTAATACATTATATAATTTCTGTTTTCAGCACCATAAACTCTTGATCTCTACCATTGGGAGTTGTAAAAATCATTACAGAGGTGGAGTCAGTTTAATGAAATGAGTGGGAGATGATTCAAGTTCCACCGGTTACATTGCTGGAACCATTGAGCCAATAGCATTTTTCTCATCAGCATCTGCAACATAACTACTCTTAAAACCATTTTGTAATACAACACACAGACAATGGTCTCTCTTGATATAATGGCTGTTTTGTCCTTTTTGTTTTTCAGCATGAAAACAATTGCTTATTTTTTGCCTACAGAATGCTGCTGATCCAAATTTAGAATGTCACTGAAAGTGTGGGCAAAAAGGCAATTTTCATTCTCCTGTTGAATCTGCAGTTTTATATAGTTCCTTCCCCAAGATGTTGGTTCTCTGGAAAAAAAATCACTGAGTGCAAATTTTCCTGATGTTTTGCATTTTTGTTTTACTATAGTCAGCATGTGCTGTATTTGGACAGTATTATTTGATGTGAAACAAATTAAATTTAGTCTGTTGTCTGATATTCAAATAAACCTTTTTTTTTGGAAAGCTTAGAACATTGAGATTCTGAGTGTAGATTTTTTTTCAGATGATGATGGTGCTTCATCATTTTGTCTTTTTGTTAGCTTTCTGTAATGTAAATGACCTATATTCTTTCAGGACTTTGTTTTGGTAGTAAACGCTACTTCATCCTTATAGTATTTTTGGCATTCTTTTGTGCGTAATGCTTTCACTTGGCAATTTTCTTTTTATTTACATTGGCTTCAATTGTCACTTTTTAAAAAATTAGGCACTGTGACTAAGGCTTGCCTGAGACCGGAGCTTGAGCAGATCAAGTCCATTTCTAGCATATCCTCAGGGACTGACCATTAAGAGGCCAGGTTTATGAGTATATGCAATTATGCATAGCACACATGTGAAACTGCCTCTAGTTTCTTCCTATCTATTTAATCCATAGTAGGTGGTTTTCCACCATAATTCAGTCTAACCACATGGGGACTAGCTAGAGTAGAGAACAATGACTACTTTAATTTCCCTGCAGCTTTTTAAATTGATTTGCCCCTTCTTCTCTTTCTCAACCATTGGAGCCAGCCATGGAATTCTTGCTTCTCAAAATCATTAGAAAAGCAAACATGAATAAAGTCGAAAACTGACAAACTTCCCTGAAAAGTTTGTCTCCCTTCCTTCCACTACATCTGGGGGACAATTCACTGGAAATAATGCTAAGTTTTACAAGGAGAAGAGATATTGATGGAAATAATTTTCTGGATCATTGTGAATTAGTTTAGGATATATTAATGTAATTGGAAGCAAAACCTGATACCAAAATCCAGAATATTTTGCATTTCACCTGTGAAAAGTGATGAATACCAGTAGTATAAGTTATTGCATTTAACAGTATATAGTGATGGTCAGGATACGCTAACTGATGCTCTTCTAATGTTTTGATTTGAACACCCATATACTAGCATGGTCAATAGTGAGAGCATTAGCTTTCATTTTCCTTAAACAATCCTCTCTCCTTTTGCCTGATAATTTCCACTGCATCCTCGATAGTTTCAATGCGTGTATGCATTCAGGCATATATAAATTATTGTATCTGCAGTGATAGTTTTTCTGTGTGTATATGTTATGCACAACGGGTGTTTTATTTTTTGAAAGTAAATTGTTGATTATGCTCAAGAGAACAGATGTTTGAAAATAGCAAATTTCTCAGCTGTTTCTCCAAAACTTTTAGCATATGCCTACATATTCTTTTTTCCTTTTATTTGTCTAACTATGATGATTAGAATTTTGCCTTAATTAGTTTCATAAATGTAGAAAAGCTAATGAGTCCTTGAGCAAAGAGATTGGCTGTGAATCATAAACCAGCCTTTCCCATTGTGGAATTCTTCAGAATTGCTAGCCGACTCCCTTAATTATTAGTCAGTTGACAGCATGGCTGAGGATTATGGTAGTTGATCCAAAGTATCTTGAAAGCACTGGATTGGTGATTGCTGCTTTGAAGCTTTGGTCTGAAGCTAATGTCAGGATCTAGAGGAGAACCATTTGTCCAACTTAAAAAGATTGCATCAGCAGTCCTGCGTAACATTTTATTTTAATTTACCACTTAAAAATAGAATGTTTTGAAAGGAGAGGAGAATAATTTTGGTTACTTGCTAAAACATTAACATTGGGCCTTCTGTTACATGCTGTAAATAGGTCTAGGTTATGGAAAAATTGAAGCTCCCTGTTCTTGAACCCTGAAGAGATCATTAATGTCACCATAAGGCAGACATACTAACTTAAATACTTCTGAATCCAGATTTCTGCTAAGAAAACTATTTTTAATTAATCTCCTTCACTGATTACATTAACATAATGTTGCTAACTCAGTTACAGATTTCATATTTGCATAACACTGTTGCTTTTGTCTTTGCAGGTGATGCAGTAAAAGACAGCCAAATGGAACTGCAACCAAATGGAAATATTGGCAGTCATACCTCTTTAGACATGGAGATTGACGAAGACACCAGTGGTCAGCTCAATATGCGTGGAGTGTTCCTTCATGTTCTCGGAGATGCCTTGGGTTCAGTTATTGTAGTAGTGAATGCCATAATATTTTATTCTTACTGGACTCCATGCCCAGAGGTTGGGGATTGCATCAATGTTTGTGTTAATGACCACTGTAAAAACTCCACTCAGTTTTCTCCAGTGGAACTAGAGCAAATCCCTAAAGCTGGTCCTTGTTGGGTTCTGTATTTAGACCCTTCACTTTGTCTGATCATGGTTTGCATTCTACTCTATACTACTTATCCTCTGCTTAAAGAATCTGCTCTTATTCTTTTGCAAACTGTTCCTAAGCAAATTGATATTCGCTCTTTAAATGAGAAACTCCGTAAACTGGAAGATGTAGAAGCTGTCCATGAATTGCATGTTTGGCAGCTGGCAGGAAGCAGGATAATTGGCACTGCTCATATCAAATGTAGGGATCCAGAATCCTATATGAAAGTGGCAAAAGATATTAAGAACATTTTTCATGATGAAGGGATACACGCTACAACCATTCAGCCTGAATTTGCCATCGTAAGCTCTGATGAAGGTGTAAGTAAATGTGAACTTCCCTGCAGAACCCAGTGTGCTCTGAAGCAATGTTGTGGGACTGTGGAAAAGGCTACGGGAAAGAAGATCGAAAAGTCCCCTTCAGTTAGTATTTCTTGCTCAGAAATAGTTATTGACACTCCACATCACAAAACCCGGAGGACTAAATCAGAATGCATACCTGCTGTAAAATTAGAAGCAGAACCTAACCCCAACAAACAGTTTGAATCATCTTTGTAACTTCTAAAGTTATGCCGAATGAAGTATGGCTTCAAGTACAAATTAATTGCAAGAAAAAAAAAGACTATTAAAAAGAGAAGTTGTAAAGAAATGTAGATATTGAAATTCTGTCCTTTTTACTACAGTGAAATCCTGTTGAAAAGAACATGCCGTCCTGACACAACATAATGTTTGTGTTAACTTGAGACTAAATGACACAACGTTAATACATAACCAGTTTCAACTTTATGCCTGATGAATTGAATTAAAAATTAAAATGATTCTTCAAATGAAATTTTCCCTTTTCCCTGAAATTAGTTTGTATTAAGCTTCTTGTTCTGTTTGTTGATTTGTGTGTGTATGTGTGTGTGTGAGAGAGAGACCTTTGTAAAAATTACAACTATTGGGAGAGGACACCAAACTTGGCAGAATCTTTTCAAAAGGTTAGCCACTTAACGTGGTTACATTTCCTATTAGATGAATACTATTTTAAAACAAATATACTATGTAGCATTAATAATGGAAATTTAAATATATGTCCATTGACAAATATCCCATGTTTGTATTGGACCTGTGACATAACAAAAATCAGCTTACTAAATATGAATTGGAAAATTACTTGCATATCACCTGGACTGTAAAAGGTATAAGACAAAAATAGTTTACACTTCTTTTCTCCTTTCCTTATTATATAAATCTTAGAATTTAAACTCTATAATAGAGTTTGCTGGGACTAGAACAGCCAGAGCTGGTCTCTGTCTTAGCAGTGTTATCTATGGTGTACTGGAATAGAGATATTGCATCTGATTTTTAAGTAAAAAAATGGAAAAATGTAACAGATCAAATTCATCAGCATATATTTGCTAAATTTTTAATATATTTCTTACTTGTAAACATATTTATGACTTAACTGTGCCATTTTTTTTGTTGGATAAAATTACTTAGCTGAACTATTCAATTCAAAGTGAATTCACAGCAGCTGATGGAACAAGATTGCTGCCTGCAGCACTGGCTCAGATACCATGATACATTTTATTGGTGCAGCAGGAATGAATTGCAGCAAACTTGGAGCTGATGGGCACACGCATTTTCTCCAGCCTATCCATGACAACTAATGATAAGGTTTTGCTTATTAGTTTCACCCAAATCCTAAACCATTATCTTAATTTATTTTCAAAATAACATTCAAGGTATTCAAAAATTCAAGAAACAGGATTGGATTGGATGGAATTTCTGCTAGCCATAGTTTGCCAGCTTTGGAAAAGCTAAAAAGTGATTTATCAAAAGAGAAGCAAATACTTCTGGGTTTTCTTTTGGCTATGTAAGAGAAGGGACTGGAAGGCATGTGAGACAAAATCTTTATTCCAATTATAGTAAATCCATTTTCTCTTAACTGTATTCCATCTACAGTAAGTAATATGCCCAGTAGTTAGGAGCAGTGGGATAAATTAGTTCAAAACATTTTGAAAGCACTAGATTGCTGGACACTATTATGAATGATGGTTATTGTGATGTCGGAACGGCCTTCAGTCAGTACTCTTACTGTGACAGTTTGCATAATCTAAGACAACTCCTTCCTAATTCAATCTTATATTGGGAAGATTTTAAAGGCAATTCCACAAAATACTTAGTAAAATAAATAGAAGAGGGCATCTCAATTCTGTTAGTCACTTGTATGTGGATTTATAAACCTACTCTAGCACTAGTTAAAAGTTTTAAGCTGCAAAGTAGGGCTGATTACAAATTTTTACTTGACATTAATGTCAATACTGAAGCATTTTTAGAGCTATTAACACATAGAGAAAAGCCAACAAAGAAAGAATGCAGGTGTGGTAAGTGTTGCAGTCCATCTTTATATTGCAAAACAAAGCTATTACATAGTTAACATTATGGTGTGTTACATTTTACTTCTAAAATGATCAAATATAAGCAAAGCATTTGTGTTTATTTTGTTTAAAGGCCACTTGTTAATACTCATAATTAGTTTCCATACATCATTCCAAGCATGAAATAATTTTTGTGTGATATAATTCTCATGTTGCTAGCCTGATTGAAAAAAAATGTTTTGAAAATTTCATGTTTTTCTATTCTATGGACAATGTAATATTCACGGAGCCAGAACTAGAAATGTGCAAGCATGTATGTATGTATGAACACACAAAAAACTAAATATAAAATACTATAAATTAGAAGTCTTACAGCTAAAGCTTCATAATTTTTGAATGCTTTAGTTTGTATTCATTAAAAATTACAAGCCTCACTTTTTAACTTCTTAGCATGAACTGGCTGATTTTATTTAGGTTAGTTTGTGTACACAATGGAATATACAGTAATGGCCTGTTTCTGATTTTTATTTCTTTGAAAAGAAACTGCTGCATCATCTCAGTAAAGCATGAAATTTAGCTACTATTTTTGAGTATATTAATACAGTGATAAAATAGGAAAGCATCTTATATATTTGTCAGGTTTGGTCCTGGTTTTTTATTATACATCAGCTTGTTTTTGTGGCAGAATATGTTGTATCATACCTGTTTTCACAGGTAATCTTTCAGAAATATTAGCCAGGTCATTTCCTAGTTATATTTTAAATAAAATTGAACATCTTAAATATCTTTACAGGATGCTTTTTTCTTTATGAACTTGATCATATCGAATAATGGGGCCAATTTTGCAAGTCTTTTTTTCTGATTGGCACTGTATGGGTAGGGGATGTTTAAATTAGAATTACACCAGTGATAGCAGACACATTCTGCTTGATATGTGTTTTTGTGATAATTATCTATTGTACAATAAATGTGAGATTGCTCTGTGAATCTATTTTGCTACAATTTCACATTATTTCCCCCCAGAAGTTATAGAGTGTGTGTGTGTGTGTGTGTGTGTGTGTGTGTGTGTATGTATATGTGTGTGTGTGTATATATATATATATATATATATATATATGCCATATATCCATCATGTGCAGTGCGTTTAATCACAAATGCACAATTGAGCAAGTGCTGTGTCACACTATGATATGTAACATGTAAATGCTCAAATGATGATAAATGACTTTATTATCTTTTGCTACTTAAGTGTTTGAAGGAGTGGCCTGTCAAAGAAAGATACGTCTTTCTAAAGCAGGACAATGTGTTTAAAAGTGTTACCGAAAAGTTTTGCAGAATGCTTCAAGACTACTTGAAAGAACTACCGCTCCAGATCTCTTTGTTAAGGTTTGCCTTTCTGTTAGCCATGAGCACTGGGCAAACTTTTGCTATATGTAAAGCAATTTGTAACTGGGGCCTGTTTTGGAGAGAACCAAGTACTGAGTCCGTTGAGTTAATGGGAAACAGTGGGGATAAATGCACTTTTTGACACTTCTTGAAGGGGGAAATCGTTTTAACTTTGCATCACCTTTTCTTGATTTTTAAAAAAGTTTTATGAAACATGTATTGCATATGTAAGGGTATTAAGTAGAATATTTAAATATGCTGCTTTAATTTCTCAACAGCATCAATGTAGCATTTTGGGATTCTTGGCTTATGTTTACAGAACAATTATCAAATATTATCATGTAGATTGTTTCTATCTTTCACTATCTCATTGCCTCTTGGTGGATTGAACGGTACTAATACTTCATGTGCCTAAAATAAGGTATTTGATCATATTCTTGTTTTTCTATGTTAAACCAACTGTAGCCTTACTGATAATGGGAGCTTTCATTCATTTGTATGATCTTGGATTACATCATTAAATTGACCGTGTGAAGACAATTTCCATGTTTTAAAAATATGTGAGCCACATTTTTTTCTCTCTCCAGTTGCTGAATTTATATATTAAAATGTTCTGGAGCATAGCCTCCAAATCCACATGCTCTGCTATAGGGAGGGAGGCAACCTTTTGCACCCTAGGGATTGTGTTTGAAAACATTGTTTGGGAGATCTAGATGGTATATCTGTATTGATTACAGTACTATCGATAACAATGTGTTTCTGTTAAACCAGTCATGCTGTGGTGTTCCTTTGCCTATAAACTAAAGATTGAGAAGGAAATAAATGTTGTTAAATAACTGATAACTGGCACAATACTTTGTCTTCCCCTTTAACAGCTCTTTCACTTGCTAAAATTCCTTTGGTGGGGTTCATATTATCTATCTAAATGGGAGGTTTGGCTAAATACAGAATTGGTATGAGTGTATACACAAGGTTTTATTTTATCTTAATATCTCAAGCACCAATCTAGCTGGAAGGAGAATGTTTGTCAAGTTTTTTTAGTCCAACTAATCTAAAGCCTTGGAATTTCCTGATTGTCTTCCGTCCAAATAACTAGGTTTAACTCTGCTTTCATAATTTCGGACACAAAAGATCATTCAAACCTGGCTGCACGGTTAGATCCAATATTTTGTACATGTACAATGCATTTTAAAAATAAATGTAATCTTCAGAACCATTAATATAATCTGCAATAGCAATAAATACACAGAATCTGAAATCCCACCCAAATTTAGATGTCTCACTTAGTTACAGCACTCTCAATAGATTATTGCATTGGATAAATCTGTACAAAATATAATCAGAAATGTAGTCACCTTTACAGTAGCTGGTGTCTACGCAGATGTCAGAATCCAGCTGATGATGGTAGATCCAAACATTAAACAGTATGGGGCTTAGTACCTGGGATGCCACCAAGAAATTTTAGAATTATTGATTAGACTGAGAAATAAAGGGGAAAAAATCTCAGGAGAGTGCCATGACAAACTACTTCCATATCATTTCAAGGAAATATATGTGGTCACTTAGTACCTGTTTAAACCTGAAGGAGGACTTATTGTTTATAACACTCAGGAAAACAAACAAATGGTTTACTTTGCAATTCCATTTTGTGTCATCAAGTCAGTATTGTTTATTAGCAGCTGCATAGAGAGATTTTCCTCCAGGTTGATTTATTACTTTGCAGTTGATTATAACATTTGTAACTTTAAAAGATGTGTCTGAGTTTATTTTCTTCATCAGTCTTCCTGCCATTCCTTTTTTTTTTTTTTTTGGTGTGCCTGTGAGTTTAGCATGGGGGCCAGGATTATCTTGATTTTTCAAATGCTCTGGGAGTTGGGAGCTGAAGAATGAAAAGCATATTAATTAACTGAATAATGCATCTCTTTAAATTATTTTGAAACTGTTTACTGTCCATTTTGTTAGATATCTCCAAATTTTAATATACAAAACCAATGTTCTCCATAAGTCTGCAAAGCTCCAACAAAGACTTTTTGTCTTCATTTAGGAAGGTATTTTTGACCTTCTAGAAGAGGGGTCCCCAAACTTGGCAACTTTAAGTCTTATGGACTTCAACTCTCAGAATTCTCTAGCCAGCTGGAAAATTCTGGGAGTTGAAGTCCACAAATCTTAAAAGTTGCCAAGTTTGGAGACCTCTGTTCTAGAAACTAAAGCAAAGCTTCAAGATGATGTGATCAGAAGCAAATACAATATTTCAAATGGGGATGTCCCATGGATTTATGAAACAGCTCTCCAATATCAACAATCCCATCCTCAACACTAAATTTTCTATATTAATTGTTGATCTGGGAGATACATTTGCTTTTATAGATTCTAAATGCAAATGTAATGTTTATTTGCAACTAGGTATGTATGTGTGTGTGTATGTATGTAT